AGCGTTCCATGGCCATGGAGCATGCCAGTACAGTGGCAATGATGGTGCCACCCCAGCCTCTTTATTTGTGTGTTTGCAGCATCCTGGTCAACGGTGGTGCAGTCGTTTTATATTTATCCCTCAGGTCCACTGACCTGGTAACAGACACTTCACCTTTCATTACATCGAGGCTTCCCCAGTTCTGTTCCATACCACTGCTCTTCCCACTGTCCTTCTCCATAGTAAGGGCTTCAGCCTCTGCTAGAAGGTTTGTACCTTGAAGCATTAGATCTTGGGCATCTGCAGCAAATTTTCCATGTTTGGCATAAATCTGAGTGAGATGAGGAGCCAGTGTGCTAGACACTGACTTTTTCTAGCGAGGAACTGTGAGTAATGAAAGCATTTGTGCAGGGCTGGTGGCCAAGCAAGAGGCATGCCGTCAGTGACAAGGGAGGAGCAGAGTGCAGGGTGCGCACCCACCAAGTTTTCTAAGGGAAAAATCAGATTACAGTTTTTAAAAGATCATCCTCTGCAACATTTTGGGAGGTGAGTTATAGAGAGTGAGTCGATGAATAAAATCCAAGCAGAAAAGAGTTTAGGGCAGGAGTGTCTTAGAATCCTGAAAGAAAGATATACATTGGAAACTAGGATTGAATGAACTGGGTTTGGTGAAGGAACAGATGTGGGGAGATGAAGGGATGGTCCAGCCAGTAGGACAGCCAAATGGTGGGGAAAGGGGAGTGATCAGGGTTAGTGCTGGGGCTCACCCTTGTGAAGGGAAGTCTGACTCCATTGGGAGGAGAAGAAGCTACAGGTTCCCCCCACTTCGTGATTCCCAGAGCCTTGGAGACAGGTTTAACAGCTCCCCTCCTCCACTAACTGGTCCTTGTCTCTGCTAGCTCAGCCCAATAACTCATGCTGCAGACTAGAGAGGAATTTGTATTGCCAGATTCTTCTAGCTAAATGTGTACCATGTGTCCCGCTAACCTTTACAACTGCGGGGAAATGTCTTGTAATTAACCAGAATATAAAGGATGAATGGAGCAGCCTGGCAGTCTCCTGTAGTCATTATCATTCTGAGGAGATGAATGTACCTAGTAAGATTTCCATCAACCAGTTCAAGCCAGCACTTTTCTTTGGGAGTCTTGACTTTGTTCACAATGCAAAAGCATGTGCAAGTGTGAATTATATTTTGTATGTATTTGGAGCCATGCGTACCCAAGGGCACAAATGTGTTGTGGGTGTGCCCATTGTAGACACAGATGCATATGTGTGCATGGATCTATGCACAGGCACATACATACGTGCATCGGGGGTGTGCATTCAAGTGTAGCCAGAACCGTGGAACCAGCCCCAGGCTCCATATAATCTGCAGTGCATAAACGATTACAAAATCCATTTTAGAGACCAGAGCTTCAGTGTAATATCATTGGCACTACACTGGTGGGCGCTCCATGAATGAATGAATGAATGAATGAACAACGACCGAATGAACAACATGAACAGATACATGCCAGAAATTCTCTAGGTTCTTGCTACTTTATCCTGCATTTCTGATTGCGTCTGTCAGTAGCGCACTGTGGAGATCTAAAGGGAGAAGGGCTCTTGTTTTCTGAAGAATTTTACCTGGCCTGCCCTTGTCTGTCGAGCTAGCTCTGACTAAGCTCATTTTGTGGCTGCTTTCCCATGGTGTTCCTTTTTCCTTGATCACTCACCACCCACTTGGTCAAACTGTTTAAAAGAGAAATTAATTGTATATAATTCAGGGTGTGACAACTTCCCTGGGATTGCTCAAAAACTGAAGCCCCAGTATATGGAGGTGATTTCTTGATGTTCAAATCCCCGGTAATGTGGATCTTGCCAAGGGCTTACCCCCAGCCAAGGCCACTTTCCTGACCCATTCATCAGCTCCCATGATGGTATGGGTCCTCTGTATGGGCTCCCCTCCCAGAGCCTGGGCCTGGGCCAGCTGGGCCTGAACATACATCTTCTAGAGATTGCATTGTTGGTGGGAGGAACCACAGTCCAGAGAGCAGGGCCCCTGCCTTCCCCATGCTTGTGTGGGGTGCACGCAGACAGCATGGGCCATGCACCTCTGGGACCAGTTCAGAGGAGCAAACAGTCACAAGGTTTATATGTAAATAAAGAAGCCCTAAGGCTTCTCAGGTTCCTTCTCGTTCACTTCTTCTTACTGCTTTAGCAAGTTCCATCCTGTGGTAAGTAGCAGGAAGGAAAAGAGGAAGGACAGGAGTTCATTCCTGTCGGGGAGGATGATGATATCAGCCACTGCTAACAGTGGCCCAGGAGGTGGAAAGTATTGACCTGGTGGGTTACACAGCCCTTCTCGGGGAGGACCGAGTAGAGCGGATGGGCACAGAAATTGGAAGGACTCCTTCTGGAGCCTCTTCCTGACTGCAACCTTGAGAAGAGAGGAAGAAGGGCTCCTTCTTAGCCATCCCCTCATGCCCACCTACCTCTCCCCGTCCCCCTTCAGCAGCTGCAGGGAGAATTGAAGCAGCATTTGCCCCTGGGAATGACGTTCCTGGGGCACTGGCCCCTCCTCACCTCCCTTCCTCCAGAGAATGCTAGGACGGGAAACGAGGCAATTGGGAAGACTCTCACCTCCTCCTCCTTGGCCAGGTGCCCAGAGCCGTCCGCACAGACCTCCCCTTGAGTGGGCCAGCCTTGCTCGTGGAGACCCCTCTCTCCACCCCAGCCCCAGGGCCGGGGCATCAGGGAGAAGAGCTCGAGCCATCCCCACAGTACTGGGACAAGCCCTGTTCTCTTAGGGATGACTGAATCCAAGAAACTCCCCCCCTGCTGCACTGTATTAGCTAGGCTTGAATAATGCATGTTTCCCTACTAATACTCTCTGTTTGATAATGGGTCCACGTTACCGTTCATTGGAAATTTTCCTGCTGGATACACATGGAGAGTAATGCACATTTATAAAAAGGCTTTGAATGCACGTTGGGCAGCAGTGACTCCGTGGTAGTAACTGAATTTGATCAGGCATTCAGTTTAGCAGCTTGCCAGGGGACAAACCCTTGGGGAGCTTTTTGATGTAGGCAGAGCTGGGGATTATTGGGGAACTGGGAGATGGGCCCTTGCATGCCTGATCACTGTGGACTCTAGTTCCGGGACTGGCATGTTACCTCAAGTGCAGAGCAAGTACCGAGTTTTTCGGGCCTGAGCCGGGGCAAAGGGAAGATTCTGGAGAAGGTTAACAGTGCCCCTGGGATGGCTTTGGCGGCAGGTCACAAGAGAAGATGCTAAGGTTCAACCAAGAGCACAGCTGCCTCCTGGCTGTGTGACCCATAGCAAATCACTTAAACCACCCTGAGCCACCACGTGATTATCTATCAAGTAGGTATAGTAAGTACCGGTCAAGGTCAATGGATGTGTAAGGAGCAAATGAAGTCATTATCGAGGGCCCACCATGTGCCAGGCTCTGTTCTAGGCATGGAGGAGGCACCAGTGAACAAAACAGACACAAACCCCTGCCTTCCTGGAGCTTACATTGCAATGTGGGGGGCGGGGGGGGGGCGCTAGAAACCACCGAGTCAATGATCCCATGTGTTGGAAAGTTAGGGAGATAAAGTAGGGAAGGGAGCCAGGGGTGCAGCATTGCTGTGAACAATGGTCAGAGGAGGAGTCTGCAAGGAAGCGGTGTTTCCACAGATGCTTCCAGGGAAGGAGGGAGTCAGGAAGATACCCTCAGAGAAGAGCATTGCAGGGAACTGGCCTGTGTGGCTGAACAAGAGTGCTTAAGGTTGAAGATAAGGTCGGAGGGGTGCTGGAAGGGCAGATGGGTCTGTGCAGGCCACTCGAAAGACTGGCTTTTACTTTAGGAGAGGTGGGTTGCTACTGAAGAGTTTTGAGCGGAGATGTAATATGGTCTGACTTATGTTTTTAAAGATCCCTCTGGCCCTTGTGTTGAAAACAGGCTATATGGGGCAGGGAAGATGGGAAGTCATGGCAACCAGGGGGGAAGTACCAGAGACCTGGACTATGACAGATGTGGAAACTGCACTTGGGATATACTTGTAAGGGTTTGATGGATCCTGGTGGATCAGGTGTGGGTGGTGGGTGTGGGGGAAACAGACGAGTCAGGGACGCTGACATGAGTAAAAAACTTGAAAGGCATTTAACCCAGGGCCTGGCACACAGGAAGGGCCTGGTCACAGTCGCCGCTACCACTGCTGGGTACCCGTATGAGAGGGGCTGAGCCACCCGGCAGGGGCCAGCTAAGAGAGGGCGTGGGGGTCTGGGACAGATGCATTGAGCAGTAGACCCAGAGACAGGATGAAGCCTTAGAGGCCAGCAGAATTCCTTGGGGACCTGGGGCAGTCAGACACAAAGGAGGTAGATGGCTTCAGAGGAATGGCCTTTGGAACTGTGGCATCCTCACTCTGGTGCCTTTTCTGTGCTACTTGGCAAACTCCTGATGAGTTGTGGACTGGACTGACATTGGATCAGAACCCAATTCAGTCATCAGGCCACCTCCTGCACCAGGCACTATCCCCCAGGGACCTCCGGGACTCAGCTTCCCCTGCCCACAATAGGTCGGCCAGCATAAGCTGGGCTCAGCAAGGCCGACTGGCTCTGCTCCACACGTTTCTGATCCTCCTGGGACCAGCCATGTCTTCTCCCAGTGATGACAGGGATGTGAGAGGACAGGCCTAATCTGGCAGGCACTCTGCAAGTCTTCGGGCACATCAAGACCTCCTCCAAAATTCCAGTGGCCAAACCCAAAGTCAAAGGGTGAGGGAATATACCCCACCTTTTTAATGGGAAGAACTATAAAATCACAGTGCAAAGTGTGTGGATACAGGGAGGGTGACAATTCAGGGGTGTTGCTGCACTCCAGTGCCACCTTTGGTATGTCCTCACCCAGAGGGACTTCTGGCTTTGACCCACCCTGGGCTATCCCAAGCCAAGAGAGGGGATCATTCTAGAAGAACCCCATCCCCAGTCACAGATAACAACTGAAACGGTTTTCCCTCTTACCTCCTCTCTAGTCAAGAAGCAAATTGAGTTGAAGTCTCGAGGTGTGAAGCTGATGCCCAGCAAACATAACAGCCAGAAGACATCTGTGTGTAAGTGTCCGCCTGCCTGCCCGCCTGCCGGGCCTCTTGCTTGAGGTCACACCTGCTGGTGCTGTGACCGCGGGGAAGCCAGATGATGCTGGAAGGATTTCCCTTCAATCCTGCCTCCTTCCGTCCCGGTTGTGCACATGGACACACTGACCTAGTGGCCAGCGAGCAGCCCCAGGGTCTGACCTTTGCCTCCTCCTCCCCCTCCCTCCTCCTCTCTCCCCCTCACTTCCCATTGTAACTGCAGTCCAGGGAGTCATTACTGCTACATTTCTCTCTTTATTTTTCCTTTTGAATCACTTCCACCTGCTGAGACAGTCCTCTTTCTGCCCCTTGCCCAGGAGTCAGTGACCCCCAGCTGGGGTCTTGGAGGCTGCAGGGTCCCCATTCCAACTCCCAGGGCAAGACCCTGCTCCAGGGACCCTGGACCTGGCTGGGCTAGAGGGTGGGCTTCTGCGCTCGAGCCCGTGGGGCAGTGCTGGGGTCTCTCTGCTGGGGGACAGGGGGACTTTATCTATGAGAGCATGTTTCTGCTATTGGTGTTTGAACAATTAAAAGGGGAACATCTGATGCTGGGGAATGGGCTGGAATGTCACCCTGGAAACAACTGATGAGAGCCTTTGCTAAGGGACTTTTGGGCTAGAGTATAGGAAGGGGTTCAGGAAGGTTCTGGGCCAGCCCAGAAAGCTGGACTTGAAAGCAGTGGAGATTTTCCTGAGAACCCCTCAGGTTTTGTTCTGAAGTTGAGTGTAGGGAACCTTCCGTGGTCAGGGACCCCCCCAGATGACCAGCCTTCTGCTTTCCTTCTCCTGCGCTTCCTTTGCCTTTCTGCTTCTCTCTCTCCTAACCGCCCCCCTCCTTCTTCTGCATCCTCTCTGCTATTTCTCCCCTTCACCCCGACTCTCTCCTTTCATCTCACCTCCACATGCTCCCTTCTCTTGAGGGGCTGGAAGTGCTTCCTGAGAGGGCTGGAGAGCAGCCATCGGTGGTTCCAAAGCTCTGTGTGGTGGTGTGTGTGGCAGGGAGCTGGGTAGGGGAGAGGCCCCGACTGAATGGAACCTGGCTGTGGGATTTTTCTCTGGTCCTGCAAGTCTCCGGGGACTGCCGTCTCTGAGCATTCTGCCCTCGATGGCAGAGGGGTGGCCAGGAGCCCTGCTTCTGTGTGCCACGAGGGTGCCAAGGGAAGGAGCGAGGAGAACCGGGGGTTAGACCAGGAGTCTACAGAGCAGGCTTGAGCCACGGCCCTGGCCCTCACAGGCTCATTCTTTCTGGAGCCACAGGAGAAGAGAGGAACTGAGGTCGGCATGATTTCACTTCAGAGTTTGCCCTGGAGCCACAGGTGGACTCCAAGGAAATGGCCCAGATTTGGGAGAGCAAGTGTGTTTTCAGGTGACTGTGTTACTCCAGGCACTAGTGTCTCCGTTTCCAAATCTGTGAAATGGGATGCAAAACCTTACCCTCCCTTCTTCCCAAGGGTGCTGCTGTTGGATCTAAGATGGGCCTCCCTGATCTAGGACTTAAGGAGGTCCGTGAACTGGCTAAAAACTACATGTGATATTGTGGGTGCATTTGGGAGAGGGGCGTGTTTTTCATTAGCTACTCAGAGGTGCCTGAAACTCCCTCAGAAAGATGAAGAAAGCTTATTCTCATGAAATAATGCAGAAACTCTGAAAAAGTTACACACGTCTCTACTACAAGACACTGGTCTCCCCTCTGAGAGTTCCTCAGAGAAGGATGGGTGCGCGGCTCAGCTGCTGGGGAGGCAGGCCACCGAATGTCTGCAAGTGTCTATCCCTTGGTGGCCTGCCCACACTCCCTGTGGACAGATGTCCTGAACTTCAGGAGGGGAGTGCACCCCGCTGACCTATCCCGAACCCTACTTACTGCCTTCACTGGGTGGTCCGCGGGTACCATTGACCCCTGGCCATCAGTCCTGACTGCCCACGTGTCCATATCTCTTTCACTTTGGGTGGAAGGCACTGCCTTTCTGAGTGTGTTGCGGCTTTTTGGGGTAAGGCCCACTCTCCCTTCCATTCTCTGTAGCCAACAGTGAATCAATGCTACAAACATAAGCAGTTGGTTTTGAATAGGCAGGAGAGCCTGGGATTAAGGAAAGAGAGGGGAAAGCCCCCTTGACTCTGTCATTCAGACATAAAGTATTCACTGGGACTTACCTTTGCTTGTTTCCTGGGGAGCCTGGATATCCGTGCCCTCAGGCCTCCAGGAAGACAGGGTCTTGGGGTGCTGTGAGTACTGACCCCTGGGCTGCTGACTTCCAGGGCGGTGCCTGAGCCTTACTTCCAGCGGGCTGATGAAAGGAGGGTGGCAGGGTTGGCTGCGCATGTGCGGGGCTGGGGTTGGGTAGGTGGGCTCTGCTGTGGCCTCTCCTCTGGGCCAGCCGCATCCTCATCGCACAGCCTTTAGCTCTGCGTGCTCCCCGGGTGGTGTAAGTACCAAGCAAGAGGGCAGGAAAGTGCTGTATTGTGTTAACGTGCTACCGGGGGCGGCATGGTTCCCATGCGGTGGGCGCGGGGGACTGTGGGAGGGGTGTGGTCAGTGGGCAGGGGTGAGTAGGCCAGGCCGGAGGAAGGCGAGCGCTTAGTTGATGAGTCCTCAGTAGGGATGGATCGTGGTGAGGCTGGCTTACCAAAGATAAAGCACAAGTACAGCTCAGGACTGACATCCTCATCTGCTTAGAACAGAGCCTCCCCTTGCCTTTCTATCCCGACCCTGTCACCTCCTTCGTTCCCATTGCTTGTGGAACATGGAGGCTCCAGGAAGCAGGACTTCCAGCTCATTATCCCCACCTGGAGGGTCCTGCCCTGGCAGGAACAGTGACACTGCTGAGTTTAGGATGTGGAAGCATTGGACGGAGAGGCTTAGTGGGGAAGGGGATGGGAGTAGGGGAAATGCCTGGCAGGAGTGACTGGTTTTAACAGGGCAATATGGAATGTTGGAGAAGGAGAGGCTCCCTGAGAGGCCTTGAGCTCAATGCCGCACAACCAAGAAGATACCGGGTGTGTGGCTTGTGTGGTGTCTGTGCAGATCCCCAGGTTCCCTTGGCCAGCCACCCCCTGGGGTACCTGGAGGTTTGAACGGGGTCTACACCAGTCTTCTAACTGTAGAAATGAACTCCAGGCTCCATGAGTCTGAGATGGGACTCCACAGGTCCCCGGGTGAGGCACGCCCTTGCTCCCTCTCCCCACACTTTAGTCTTCCAGGAGCCCTGGGGACTCCTTCTTTGCCACATCCATTTCTATACCCTCATGTCCGTCCCCACTGCCAGGCTCTTGTCCTTTGCCTGGACAATCCTAAAACTTCCCAACTGGTCTCACAGGCACCAGCCTCCCCCTGAGCATCTTACTGTGCCCTTCCCCACCCTCAGGACTCTTCAGTGGCTCCCCACCATTTTCAGGATCAGACTTGAATCCCTTAAAAGTCTGACCTCCATAGCTTCACCTTCCGCTCTTCCATGTCACTGGTACCTTCTCTTCTATTCTGGCCACACTGGGCAACCCCCAGTTCTGTTTCCATGTCTTCACTCCACTCCACTGTGTTCCTCTGTCTCCCTGAACTGCCGTTCCTCTGTCAACATGTGTTCAAATCCTACTATCTCAGACTACTCATGTTAAATGCCACCTCCTCCAGGCAGCCTTCCATGCTTCTCTCAGCAACATAAGACAGGTCTTCCCTCTCAGCCTCCCTGTAGCTGCGTCTTCATCACTTCCCCTTTGTGGTTCTACAGTTTGTTTCCGTTTCATATCTTCACTTGACTGGGAGCTCCCGGAGGACAGCGGTCATATCCGAAATCTGACAGTTGCATCTCCCATGGTATCCACAATAGGGTCTTGTACACAGTAGGTGCTCACTGAATGCTTGCTGTGTACCAATGTATGGGAATGAGTGAGTGGGTGAGTGAATGAGGAATGGAGCCGTTGCTCATATTGTGGGACATTGAGTGGGTGGGAGGGATATGGGCCAACTCAGAGAATATTGCTCCACGCTCCCTGTCATTTCTGTCTTGAGGGTGCTGTTGGGACTGTGGGATGGGCGAGGCCTTGAATGGACCTGTATGCCAGGCCCCAGCTCCCGGTGATACCGAAAGCCGGGAATCCAGAGATGTGAGAGAGCTCCAGCCTCATGAGTATGAGCATCTTGAGAACAATAAACCAGCAGGGTCCAGAGGGTTTCTACCCTCTCCACTGGAGACAGGAGAAAACTGTGTATCTGCCACCCCCTGACCAGGCTTCTCCTTTGGCAGAGAGGACCATGCACACGGTTGTATAAACAGCACTCTGGTGTTGGCAAGTGTGAGAGCATCCCACCACCTGCCAGAACCACCATGGGTGCCATCTCTGCGTGGTGCCCTTGGCCGGTGGCATTGGACAGGGGATCCTCTGCTTACTGCTTACTCAGCTTGAGAAGCATCCGATGGGGAGAGGTTTCTTGGCAGAAATAACCACATTTGAGCTAAAGGCCCTGCTTTGAACTTCAGACTGCAGCTTTCTCTTACATTCTTTACTGTTCCTGATCACATATCCACCTTTTATTTAACTTCCTTTGAGTCATTTCTCCATTTGGGGCTGAGGTTGGGGGTGATCATCTCATCTAGAGTCGCCGCCCCCGGATCCAAAGCGCAGGGTGAGGAGGTCACTGGGGGCTGAGGACCGTCAACCTCTGGCCACTGGCGTGGGACGATGGAACAGGGTGGTTGCTGGTTTGGGGTGCCTGCCTCTGAGCCCCTATGCTCTTGATGAATTTCACTTGGACTTTGCTCACAAAGGAATTTGTCAAAAGCAGCTCCCCACCTTGCGTACTCATGAAACCTGAGCCAGGAGACCCCACAACCCCACACAGCCCCGTGGAGCAGGGCCTCATTCTGTCTCTGTATCCACCCCCAACCCTGAGCCACTGCCCTGGACATGCCTTCCTGTGATTACCCATCTCTGTATGTGCTGTTTTTTTCCTTGTAGTAACTCAGGTTGGTGTGTCCCAAGGGCATAATATGTGTCCAGACCTTTTTTTACCTGAAAGGGGCAAAAGACTAGGCTCGGATTTCAGGTAAGACTCGTTCGGGAACTTTCTAATTGCAAAGAAGGGTGGATGGCCTGGTTGGGGGGAAGACAGGGGCTGGCCTTCCTAGAGGTACAATGCAGAGGACAGTGTGGATTCAGGAATAGACACTTTCTGGAGAACTGTGGCGTCTGGCATTCTTTCCTGGGCCAGTCCTGGGACTGGTGCCTGTAGGTATCAGGGGAAGAAGAGAGCCGCAGACTGCCAGGGTTACACAGCACACCTGTCCCCGGGGTCCAGGAACTGCCCTCACCAGCGATGACGTGCCAGCAGGCAGCTTATGTCTCCCCTCGTCTGGAGATCCTAGGGCCCCAAGATGGTACATCTTGCAGAGTTTCTAATAATCTAAGTATCTTCCCAGAATCCTCCATTTTCATTAAAATTTATGGGTATCATCCACCCACTCTTAGCTGTCCTAACTTAGAGCATGGCTGTTTTGCTCCCAAAGTCACATTTTAACTCAATCCTAAGACCATTAAATGGTCCAAAAAAAAAAAAAAAAAAAGATGAAGAGCAGACATTCCTTTCAGTGGAGATTTTAAGTGAAAAAAAAAAAAAAAAAAAATGAAGGGACAGAGGAGAAATAATGTTTGGTGTGGTACTTGTTTGTGGAGCAGGAAAGGAATTGGGTGGGCCTGGTGGGCCCAGGGCTGAGCTCACAGACACGCCTTGTCTCCCAGGTTAGGATCCAGCGTCCAGTTCACCTGCAGCGAGGGCTATGACCTGCAAGGGTCCAAGCGGATCACCTGTATGAAAGTGAGCGACATGTTTGCGGCCTGGAGCGACCACAGGCCGGTCTGCAGAGGTGAGGGTGCCCCTGGAAAGGGAGGCTGGCCAGAAACCGGGCTGGGCAGGGAGGATGGAGCCCAGCTCCTGGTCCCTGAGGGTACACGCTTGCGTCCAGACTGACTTGCCTCACTCTCGCTGTGCTCCAGGCCTTGGGTTCTGCATTCATTGACTGATTAACTTACTATATTTAGTTAGCACCATCTCTGTATCAAGGCCTATGCTGGGATTGGGAGATACAAAGGTGGGGATGACAGACACGGCCCCTGCCCAGCATGGACCTTACGGTCAGGTGGGGGAGGCACAGAGGAAGCAGGTTGCTAGCTCACTGCACAAAGACATCACAACTACACTTCAAGTGGAAGGGAAGTCAGCTTGAATAATGTTACCTTGACTTCCTCCAGTATAACACATACACACCCCAAACCCTCTATCTCAATGCCTTTGTTTCTTTCCATGTGCTCGGCAATCCACAGATCTGTCACCTCTAGAAGAATGCTCTTAGCTAGGCAGGAGTCATGTGGACCATGATACCAGAAGGCTTCTCTGTAGGAATCCTCTAACCCCACACCTGGGCATCTTGTTTTCAAAGGCCCCGCCACCCACATTCCCAGCCATCACATGGCCTGAGGCTGGGCTGCCAGAGCCCCCATCCCCCACATCTTAAAATAATACACCTGAATGTTTTCCTTCCCTGAGACAGGACAGCAGCTGCCTCTATGGTAGAGAAGCCCCTGGCCTCAGCCCCCAGGGCAACGGTAGCTGGCTTTTCATTTCTCCTGCCATGTGTGCGTCTCTCTTCTACTGTTCATGCACATGACCAGAGCTCAGCTCTTGGTGCAAGACTGAGCAGTCTCTCTGGAGTTTGTGAACAAAGCCAACAGTTGCTCTCTTGAGTGCCTCTTTGGAAGAGAAGGTACATTGCCTGCCATAAAGTTACATTCTGGATCCTTCCCAGTTTAAGAAGGAGATGCTTTGCCTCTCTCCAGGCTTATATACTAAGATGAAATTGATGCACAGAAAGGGGTCCAGGAGAAAGAACTTGGATGATGATTACACTAAGGAAGGGAGAGAGTTGGAGCTGAAACCCACTCCCTTTTTTTTTTTTTAATGTGTTGTTGAGTAATCTTGGAAGAAGGTCATGAAAATACCTTTGTTTTTTTTTTTTTACGTATTCATTCTCACTCAGCTTTGAGGTGGCCATGACCCACAATTAATAATTACTTTGTGTTCCCACTGATCTTAGTGATATTATTTCAAAGATTCCACTTAGCTAATATTTTTTAAAAATCAAACAGAAGACGGAGTCTTATGTATAACTCTCAGCTTTGCCACCAGCTAGCCATGGGCAGTTTGGCAAATCATCTATTTTCCCTGGCCTTGTTTTCTTAACCATGTAGATAATGGTACCTACCCTACCCATCTTGTGTTAATGTGGGAGTTGTGGATATGGAAATATCTAATGAATCAGAAAGAGCTTGACAAGAAAACAAATATCCTCATGCTAGAATATCAGCTCAATAGGGCAAGAATGCCTAGAATGGGGCCTGGCAGATAGTAGGTGTTCGATAACAGATGTTGAATGAGTGATTGAATGAATGAATAATAAGATAGCAAACATTCCATTTTCAGGGAGCTAAGAAACCAGCTGTGTAGAGAGGCATAGAATTAATCATGTCTGAGGACCAAAAGGACCCTCGGCCATTCTGTTCTTTCAAAATTCCTTTTGAGGAACCAGAATAACAGTGCCTTTGGGCAGTAGTGGAATCCGATCTCTCCCAAAACCTTTTCATTGGCAGAAGATTCTTCTCTTGGAAGAGGGATGGTTTACGTGACTATGCCCAGGGTAGGGAAGGACTGGCATTTTGGAAGGAAGTTCACAGTCAAGTGATCACGCTTATCCAGATGTGTTATGTGGCCCATTCAGGTCATGTCCAGTGATTTTTGACACACTGGACTCTAAATTCTCTGCCATCCTGTTAACTGAGCTTTGGGCTAAGCTTTACACATCCATTCTCCTCTCATCCTCTGCCGCTGGGAGGCGGAGGAAAATCATGGGAAACAAAGCCAGGCAGAACTGCATTCAAATGAAGCTCCCACCACTTTGTAGCTGGGTGTCCTTGGACCAGTCCCTGCACCTCTCTGAATCTTTTATTTTTTTTTTTCTGCTAAAAGGCAATGATTATAGAACATGACTACTCCTTGGCATTACCTTTTTTTTTTTAGGAGGTAGTGGATTGAAAGTGCTCACCTAGAAATGATCCAGGAGCATCTGTGAGGCTTGTGTGCCCTCATGGCACCGTCTGCACGTGGCCTCCCCCCGGCCTGGGAGCACCCCCTCCTTAGCATCTAGGGGCTGCAGGGTTTTAGAAGGCTGTGCCCTCACTGTCTTGGCCAATCTTACCGCAATCACAGCAGCTGGGGGGTGCACACAGACTTTGACCTAGAGCACAACTCTGCCTCCTATTAGCTTGCTGGCCCTGGGCTGGGTCCTGCCTCATTTTGAGCCACAGGTCCCTCCCTTGTGAACTAGGAAAACAAATCCTCCTCTCCCTGGTGCTGGCGACATTTAAACAAGCCATTTTATGGAAGGTGACCAGCACCAACTGTGGTGGAGAGAGAGGGGCTTCTCAGCACAGGGGAGAATATGCCACTCTCCCCCTCCTGTTCCCCCCACCCCCCCAGGTCATTGGGAGGGAGGAAGAGACAAGGCAAAGCCTCCTGGGTTTGGACTTGGATGGCCTGTCCCCAGCTTCCCTGAAGGCCAAGGCCTGAGACAGAGATGAGATTCAAGGGTCCTCTCATTGTGGCAGTTTTGAAAGTTTTTCTTTTAAAAATCTCTTGTTTTTAATTAGTTAGAATCACTATCATAATTGTAAATTTTTATAGAAGTCTAAGTGAACCCCACTTCAAGAATAAAAAGGGACAAAACTCTTTGAATTCCAGGATAGCTCTACTAATAAGCAGGTTATCAAAAGATCACATTCTAAAAAGGATTCACCACTAATAACAGTGGTATTATTTTTCCTCTAATGCATTTAAAATATGATTTGATATTAAATATTCATTTTCCATGCAATTAATTCTGCTAAAACATGGGGCCTGGCAAATAATAGGTTCTCGACTAATGTTGCAGGGTGACCTGAATGGATCGGTGATTGAAATGAGCGAACAATACGGGACTGTGCCCTCATTTTGGAATTTGAAATTAGGTATTCACAGGTTTTTATTCTCTTTCCATCCCGCCGAAGAAATAAGTTCCAAAAAAAAAGGGGGGGATAGAGTTTTGAATTTCATGTGTCCTAGACAAGTTTGATCATCTAAAGTAGATGGGGGGGAACATGAAACTTACTAATTCTCTTTAGCCCCAGAGAGAGGCAGGTGGTAGAGTACAGAGCTTGGCAGAATTATTTTACAGATGGAGGCCAATATTTAAAAATCAGCGTTTGCAGAAGCCTAATAATAAAGCAGATACAAATGGAGCTTCTTTCACTGAAGTAGGGGTAGGATATTTAGGGTTGCCCCTCCCTCACCCCTCTCAGCAGCCCCCAAGCTACCTCCAAGTAACCCTGAGGCTCCAGGGAACCCTAAACACTAAACCACTAATAGTGGATAGGACCAAATTGACAACCAGGAGACCCGGAGGCCTGGTTTCATGTGCCCACAGATTGGTGTTGACAGGGAATAGGAACTGAGTTATCAGCCCCAGATGAGATACAGTTACTGAGCCATAAAGTAGATACTCAACAGAAAACCATACTATTCTTCTCCTTTGTGGAGAAATCCCCCATTTGCTGTGCAAATACACATGCATAAACACACACACTCACACACGTATCTATATATACTTGTATATCTCTATAGAATAAAACCCTTTTTCCCTCCCTTCCCCTATGATCCTCTGTTTTGTTGGAGGGGAGGTGGGTGGGGGGATGGGTAACTGGGTGACAGGCATTAAGGAGGGCACATGATGTAATGAGCACTGGGTGTTATATGCAATGGGTGAATGACTGGGCTCTACCTCTGAAACTAGTGATGCACTATTTGTTAACTAATTGGATTTAAATAAAGTCATTTAGTAATAAAAAAAAAAAAAAAAAATAAAAGCCTTCTTATGGATAGAACACCTGACTCAGGACTCAGAGACCTAAGTTCAAGTTCCAGCCTTGCTATTAACATACCATATGGCACAGGGCAAATTACCAAAATGCTCTGAATCATCTCCCTCATTCTCATAAGATGGGAGTGAAATGTGGGAAATAGGGCACAAACCAGCGGAATGAAAGCATGACAGTTACAGGTGGCTGTCTTCCTTCTTGGTGGCCAGCACTGGATCAGCTTCCCAGGCCTACTCCTTAAACACTAATGTTGTTCAGAGTTCTGTTTTCATCCCCCCCTCCCCTCTCTCCACTCCCCCCACTCCTACCCCAACCTTCCTCCCCTCTCCTTTGTAGTTATTCCCCGTAGGTGATGTACTGAGGGCATGCCCCATTGTTCCCTGACACTCATACCTATATATTTGTACTAATGATAAAGCTCCCAGTTGTTACACTATTTGTACTTGATAAAGCATTGCAGTATATACATTTTCCATAATTTCTTTATAAGGAAAGTGGCAATATCCACATTTTATGTTTGGCTCAAGCTTGGAGTGGTCAGCCTTCTTGCCCAAGGGCACAAAGCTACTGGGTTGATCTGGGATTCAAACCCTGACTCCAAAGGCGCTATTCTACTTGAAAATGGCCCCTGGACATCCTTTGGAGTCAGTATTCTGGGTGGAACCACATAGAACAATACCCTCTTCCCTACTTTTTGGTTAACTTTTATTTTGATTTAATTGTAAACTCAAAGACAATTTAAAGGAAGCATACAAAGAACAATACACTCTTTACCCAGATTTAAACAACTAATTTTGAGGACTTAACGAACAAGAAGGAAGCTGAGAAGGATCAGTCAGAGAAGTAGGAGAAGAGCCAAGAGGCACCATGGAAGCCAAAGAATGTGAATGTCTACACACTGTAATATTTTATTTAAGTCCTTAAAGTGGTAAATGCCTTTTTGACCTGTTCTCTGTAATGACCTTCGGCATGTTTCAACAGAATGCAAATACCATATAATTTTCAGAAACAAGTGCGGGATAAATTGAGTCTGAAGGTGAGGGCTTTTAAGGCAGCAAAACCTGACTTTGCAGAAGAGATATAAATGGTGCTGGTGGAGATTTGTAGGAATTCCCTATAGGGCTAGGGTTCTGAATCCACAAGTCCCCCTTGCAAAGGTAGGCGGGATCATGGTTTTGGTTTTGATGGTCTTTTTCTAATTTGTGTACTAATGTTCTCAGCTATGGGAAAAATTCCTAAGTAAAGAAACCAAGGAAGGTAGGAAAAAGATTTTTGGCCTTTAGAAATGAATGAACGTGGCTTTGGGAGTCCCATAGTCCCCTCTGTGGAATATTGATGATGTCCCAGGACCTGAATGAGTCTTCCCATCCAGTATCTCATCCAATTTCATCCTCACCATGCCTCGATGAGGTGGTATCACTAGCCCCATTTTACAGATGAAGTAGAATCAGAGAGCCTTTCCAACTTAACCAGCAAATGGATTTCAAATCTAGAAGGCTAAGCTGGCAAACCCCACAGCCTATGCTCTCCTCACCATGGTGATCTACCTTCAGGCCCAGTTGTATCAAGTACAATCTGAATCTAAGAGTTTGCCAGCACAGAATTATGGGCACAGTGAGCTTACATGAAGGGGTGGAGGAAAGGGTTCCTCTAGGGCTTCTTTCAAACTTGACTCAGCTACCATTGGAGCTCCTGAGGGAGAAGATCCTTCAGGTATAAGACCGGGGCCAGCCACCAGAAAGAACATCCTCGCTGACGGTGCTGTCCCAGTAGAGAAGGAGCCTTTCAGAGCCAGCAGCCTCTTATAAACAACCCTCTGACAACACTTGCTCTGCTTGATTGTGGCTGTTCGCACACCTGCTTCCCCCGCTTACCGGTGGCCCTTTCGAGAGGAGGGGTTGTGTCCGAAATGTTTTTCTCTCCCCACATTCTGCCTGGCCCATGACAGGCACTCAATATATGTGGGAATGAGTGAGTGCAGGAACAAGTGCAGGAAATGAGCAGATTGATTATGTCCGGGGGCCGTGGAAGCTGCTTCCCAGGCCCTCCAAGAAGGCTTTCCCAGGAAAGGTTTATCGTGGCTGTTATCCACCTACAGAGAGGAGCCCTAGGATATTTTGCCCCATCAGAGGAAACCAGGTTTGACACCACTTTCATTTTATATACTTAAGCTTGTTGAGTTTGCTCACTATTTCTTTACTGTTAGGCACTTTGCCTACAATTAGGATAAATCGCCATGTGGGCAGCAACAGAACAGACTCATAGAACTCTTTATTAAAATAGCTGAGCGCTAACACTGAAGAATGATGTGGCCAGAACTAAAGAGCACGTTTTTAAAGAAGGCAAACACCTAGGTACAATGTAGTACCTTAACTGTTATCAATCACTACTTAATCTAATTAGTTTAGAAGCTATTTTAAAGAGCTTAATTAGATTAAGCTGTGATTGATAACACTTTATATCTACTTGAGTAGAGCACTTCTTCTAATTCACCTTGAATCTTTATGCTTCCAGTCAAAAGCCTGTTTCAGACATGTGCTGAACATGGGGAAGGAATTGGGAAGTACTTGATTGGCCCTGAAATCACTCTGGGTGCCTTGCACTGGGCTGAGCTGAGGACCTTGGCAGAGTCCTTGGGTGCAGACATTCTCAGACCTCATAGGGTGGCTTTGACAAGGACATCCTGAGATTCTACTTCAGGAGGCTGAGAGCAAATGGGGAAACACAGGTCAGCAGAGCAAGGGGGGAGCAGCTCAGCACTTCCATAGGTGCCTGGGGCCTACCTGGCTTTAGATCAGCATGAGTAGTACTAGCCTACGCCATCCTGGGGGAGATGAGCTGCTCAATCACAGAGGAGTCAGGATAGGGAGGCTTGCTTAGCCTGACCATGGAAGTTCATCATTGCCTACAGAGCAGCAGGTGAGGACTTGCAGAACTGCCCCTCCACCAGTGTTCCCAGAACTGTGACTTTCCTTTGAGCCTGCGGAGAACTGGGGAAGGAAATAGGAAGCAGGTTATATCTGGGGTGGGACTATACAGACTCCAGGCTCTTCTCGCTGGAATTAGGAGGGGGGATGGGAACTGGATCTAGTCTAAACTAAGATGCTTGCCTTTCATCTCCTCTCTGCAGCCCGCATGTGTGATGCCCACCTTCGAGGCCCCTCAGGCATCATCACCTCCCCCAATTTCCCTATTCAGTATGACAACAATGCACACTGTGTGTGGATCATCACAGCACTCAACCCTGCCAAGGTAAGGCTCCTGGGGTGGATGGGGAGAATCCTGTGGGCAGGTCTGGCTTGGGAACAGTTGGTCTCCAAGGGGTTTCAAACCCAGAACTTGGTTGTGGTAGATTCTCTGCAGGAAATTCTTAAAAATTGTTTTTTTATTAAATATCAAGTAGTTAAAAAGCATATTTCTAAAACAAGATATGAAGAACATTTTTTTAACAAACGATTGCCTAGTCATCTCCCAACTTAAGAAAAAAAAAAAACACAGTTACCTTAATGATGCGTGTCCCTCACCAACCCCATTCCATTCCCTATCCCTCAGGTACCTTGACTGTGTACTTACTGTTCCTCTGCTTTTCTTTATAGTCTGCATACAAATGTGTATCCTTAAAAATATATTATTTAGTAAGCCAGCATTTGAGCCTCATAGAAACATACTCATGTCATATATATTCTTAATCAACTTCACTCAGAATTATATCCCTAAGATTTGTCTATGTTGGTGTGTGTAGTTTGCCCTGCTATATACATCTCTTCACATGTTTATTTCACATTTAGTTTTTTTCTATGCAATGCCCTTTATTCTCTCATTTACAAGTATCTTGCCAAGATCCACAATTTTTTTTGTTAGAATCTTTATTTTAATTATACCAAAACTACAGATCAATTGGAGAAGAACTGATATCTTTATGATACTGAGTCTTCCCATCCATGAGTATGGTATATCTATTTCCCTAGGGCTGTCAGTAAACTTGTGTAATTTTTTTCCATTATAGGTCTTGTTTGTTTCTTAATATATGTACTTCTAGATAGCTTATATTTGTTACTGTTATAAATCATATCTTTTAAAATTTCATTTTCTCCCAAGTTCTTGCTAGTATTTAGAGATGCAGTTAATTTTTATTCTTTGGTTTTTTAATATAGCAATTCTTGTAATGATTTATCTATGAATTACTTGGGGTTTCTAGAAAAGACAAAGGATGATGGTTTTATTTCTTCCTTTCCAATCCTTATACCTTCTCTTTATTCTTTTTCTTGCCCTAACGTTCTGGCTAGACCCTCCAGTATAATGTCAATCATTGTGGTGATGGTGGGCACACTTGTCATTGTTTGATGTTAAATAGAATGTTTTTGGTGATTAACATAACAATAACAAATTAAAAATAAATAAATAGAATGTTTTTATCATTAAGTATGATGTTTGCTGAAGTTTTGTTTTTAATTTATTGTTCCCTTCTGACTCTAGTTTTCTAAGTGCTTTTATTGTGAATAAATGTAGTGTTTTATCAAGCACCTTTCTATATCTATTGATATTATCATGATTTGCTCCTTAATTTTCTTAGTGTGGTGAATTACATTGGTTGATTTTTCTAATGTTAAACCAACCTTTCATTCCTGGGATAAACCCAACTTGGTAATTTAGTATTAGATGCTTAAATAAGCATCTAAGTGTTATAAATGCCTATATTTGATTTGCTAATATTTTGTTTAGTAATTTGCTTCCATTTTGTTAGTGAGATTGGCCTTTTTTTTTTTTCATCTTATATATTACCCTTGCCAGATTTTTTTCAAGAAGACATCGTTAGCCTCAAAAAATGATTTGGCAAGTGTATCTTCTCTTTCTATCCTATGGGGTTAATGGTAGAGGTTGGAATAACTTTTACCTTGGAAAGTTGGTGGAACTTTTCAGCAGAACTATCTGGATTTGGTGTTCCTTTGTTGGAAGATTTCAAACTATAGATTTAAGACTTTTAATGACTAAAAGACTATTAGATTATCTTATTTTTTTCTTGAGTCCATTTTAGTAAGTTTTTTTTTTAAGATTTCATTTTTTATTTACTTGGCAGAGAGATACAGAGAGAGAACAAGTTTTTTTTTTGGCAGGCAGAGGGAGAGGGAGAAGCAGGCTCCCCACTGAGCAGGGAGCCCGATGCGGGGCTTGATCCCAGGACCCTGGGATTATGACCTGAGCCAAAGGCAGCCGCTTAACCGACTGAGCCACCCAGGCGCCCCTTTAGTAAGTTTTCTAATTTATTGGCCATAAAGTTGTGTATACTATCTCTCACTATATATATTTTATTCCCTCTTTTATTTCTAATTTTGTATCTCTTTTTTTATCAATATTGCCAGAGGTTTCACATTTTTTACAAAGAACCAATTTTAGTTTTGTTAATATTCCATTTGATATGTTTATTTCCTATTTCACCAATTTCTTTCCTTCTGTCATATTTGGGTATGTTCTGGGTTTATACTCCTTTTTTAGCATTCTAACTTTGATGCTTAATTCATTATTTTTCAATATTATTTAAGCATCTAAGGCTACAAATTTCCCTCTGAGGACTATTTTGGCTACATTCCCACAGGTTTTGTAGGTAGTATTTCTATTATCCTTCAGTTCTGAATATTTTCCAATTCCATTATTCTTTTATCTTTCAACCATGAGTTTTTTTAGAAATATTTCTTAATTTCCAAACAGAGGATTTTTCTAGCTGTCTTTTTGTTACTGATCTAAAGCTTGTGGTCAGAGAATATTATATTTGAATCATTTGAAATTTGTTGAGACTTTTAGAATCGGGAATGTCATTTTTCACATATATTCTTTGTTGGAAAAAATAAGCTACATTTTGCAGTTTTTGTGTTCTAATATCTTCATTACATCAGCCTTGCTCATTGTGCTTATATCTTTTATATCTTCATTGTTTTGCCTTCTTTATCAGTCAACTGCAAGAGAAGGCAAATTAAAATTTCCCACTATAATGGTGGTTTGCCTAATATTCCTTGAAATTCTGTCAGTTTTTGCTTTATATATTTTGAGACTGCTGTTAGAGCTTACAAGCTGAGAATTTTATATCTTGCTGGTGAATTGAGCTTTTTCAAAAATAGTTATTTAATGACTCTTTACCTGGAGTAATGCTTTTGACCTTAAAGTTTTACCCCCACCTATTCCATCAGTTTTTTGTTTGGTTTTTGGTTTTTTTAGTTTTGTTTTAATAAATCATTCCTGTTCTCTTGCTTTCAACGTTTCTACTTCTTTTTTTTTTATATATGTCTTGTGTATAGCTGGATTTTTAAAAATCCCCTCTGGCAATTCATCTTTCACCTGGAAAAGTTAGACCATGTAAATTGTACTATCATTTGTATTTTTTAGGGTTACCCTAGATGTCTAGTGTTAATATGCATACTTAATAAAGTCTAATGTAAATAGTAATTTTATGTTCCCCCTGAAAAGTCAGAGGTCTTAGAACACTGACTTTAATTACTCCTTCCCAATTCATACTCTATGGTGCATGTATTTTCATGTTGCCTTTCTTTTGCTCACAAGTCATTATTGCTCTTGTTTAATAAAACTAATGTCCATTTAGATTTACTCACACATGTACCATTTTGTTCACTATTTCTTCTTGCATATCAGTCCTTCTCTTTGGAATTACTTTCTTTCTGTCCAAAATACATGCTTTGGAATTTATTGTCCTGCTAATGACAAACTTTCTTAGTTCTTGTTTGTCTTAAAATGTCTGTTCTCCCCTTGTTCTTGAAAGAACACTGCTATTCACTAAGTATTTGATTCTTGTTTGATAATTACGTTCTCTCTGCCCATGGAAATATTATCCCAATGTCTTCTAGCTCCCATTGTTGCTGTAAGTTTATTGTCATTCCTCTGTATGATATTCTTCTGGCTGCTTTTATGGTCTTTTCCTTGTCTTTATTGTTCTGCAATTTCATGATCAAGTGTCTTATCCACAGATATCTTGGCATTTATCCTGATTGACTTCATTAAGCTCTGGAATCGGTAGATTTTATCTTTCATTAGTTTGGGGAAATTTTTAGCCATTGTCTTTTCAACTGTTTTCTCTCCTTTATTCTCTCTCTTTAGCTTTGCGCAGTGGCAGTATCGTAGCCAATGAGGTTTATCCAAGGCGCGATTATTGCTATTCTCTCTCTTTTCTGCTCCTGAAAGCCTGACAAGACATGTTAATATTTCTCACTTCATCTTCTATGTTTCTTAACTTCTATAATTTTCTGTCATTCTCTTCACCAATTATCTGTTGAGCTATATCTAACCTCTGTTGAATTCATTCACTGAAGATTTATTTTAATTTCAAGTAGCACCATTCATATTTTATGAGATCATATTTGGTTTTTAAAAAGTGTTCTTGATCATATTTTATAGTATTTTGCCCCCTACTCATATGTTCCTTAATTCTTTAAATATGTTAAACATATTTATTTTATACTCTGTATCTGTTAATCCCAATATTGGAAGTCTTTGCAAGTTTGATTCTGTTGTCTGTTGTTTCTCACTTCTTGCCTCCCACATCCATGTTTCCTTCCTGGTCCTGTCTGTAATTCTATGTGGTTAGAATCATAAACTTTGTCTGTGAGACTTCTTTGAGACCTGGGTAGAAGGTGGTTTCTCCCAGAGAGAGTTTATATTCACTTCTGCCCAGTGCCTGGGAGCATTACCAGCCAGAAACCTCTCATACTAAATTCTCAGTATGAAGGTTTCAACCCACCCAAGTAACATGCAAACCCATATGAAGGTAGACTTATTGTGAAGGAGTCTCAGGGGAAGTTTTCTGTTTGTGTCCACTTAGTGTCAAGGTCTCAGATAAGTAATCAGCCTCCACATCCACCCAGAGGGCAGTAGTGGCAGATGAGAAGGAAGGCATTCTTACTTCTCACTCACCCTCACACTATGGGTGCAGCTTTAATCAGCCCAACTTTATTCAGGGGTGTCATACTAGAGTCCTCACCTTTGTGGGTCCTGACCTTTGTCTCCTGTTCCCTCTTCTCCACAAGGCCCTGAAAATCAGAGCTCTATCTACTTCACCAGTTTTTAAATATGCACCCAAGGCCAATGCCAGCTTCATGCTCTGAGTCACAGTTTGGGTCCCTACATTCACTGGGTTTGGACTCTGAGTATTCTTACTTTATTAGTCTGCCCAGGCTGCCATAACAAAACAAAACAGACTGGGTGGCCTTAACAGGGGATATTTATTTTCTCACAGTTCTAGAAGTTAG